ATGGTCTTTATTCCTTGCTGCTCATAAACTTTTATTCAATGAAATATTCCTTTATGGTTTCACCTACCTGGAGTTGTTGTGTTATCAAAAATGAGGGGGATGCCCCCCATGGTGCCATTCTCTCGCGCCCTGCGAGCCTCCATGTCAAAAACCCTTTGTACTATTGTGTCACTATGATTGGCAGCCGGGAATTCTGCTGAAGTGTTGGTGATGGTGGAACCCGGCCTGTAGAGGAAACACAAAAATATATAAAAAATTTTGCTGCCTTCTTCCTGGTCAGATCTGCCGCTCACACAGACATACTCCTCTCTCCATAAACCCAGTACTATGTACAATGGCTGAACGAATACCGTGTACATCGATCTTCTTCAAAGTCAGCTAAACTCTCTTCCACTTCACATCCCCGAGACGTCATTGACCAAATATGATCATGTCCGTGTTTGGCCAAAGCTGTGACCAGGGGCAGACTGACAACTCATGGGGCCCCTGGGCAATAGGGGATCATGGGGCCCCTGTGTCCTTGCTCAAACTCAAAAAAGCCTATGAAAAAGGTACCAGGGGTATCTCATGGGGCCCCCTACTGACCCCGGACCCTCGGGCAGTGCCCGAGTTTCCAAATGGTCAGTCCGCCCCTGGCTGTGACCCTTTTTTTATACCCAGCTGTCATCCATCGGAGTTGTCATTTGCGGGCGAACAGTCGCTGGGATTGCATCATGTTGAATATTTTTTTTCCCGGAAGTCGAAGGGTGACGCTCATTGTGATTGACATGGATCTCCATCTCTATAAAATGCAATTGATATTGGATTTGCACACATGCATAAAAATGCACGGAAGCGCAACTGACTGCAGGCGCAAATTTAGTGCGTTGTAATGTGATTGGGTCCTAAAATCTGCTGCATTCCTCTCTGGGTGTGGCAGTGAGTGATGCAGACGTTTTTAAAGGTCAGCACAAAGGGAGGTACGCAAATATGTGCCCCCCCCCCACGGCATAAAGCCCAGTGCAGTGAGGCCGCATATTTGTGTAGGCATCAAGGGGTTAAGGTGAAAAACTTGTGTTTGCTCCCGCCCCCAACCCCTCCCCCCTTATACTTACCTGAGCCCAATCTCAATCTAGCCTGAGAGCAGTGACTCTCTCTACTCTCTCTCTCCTCACTGGACATGAAGGCAGCAGTGGTAGCTATTGGTTCCTGCTGCTGTCAGAGCCTGTGAGGAGAGATCAGGGATGGGTCAGCCCACCCACCTGCGCTATGTGTGTCAATGGGCATACAGAGCCGATTTCAGGATTGAGCCCCATGAGTGCCCCCAGAGCAAGCGACTTGCTCTGGGGGCACTCATGCTATGGGAGCACTCAGAGGTGGGGAGGAGAAAGGAGCACTAGCGGGGGACCCCAGAAGAGGAGAATTGGGGCTGCTCTGTAGAAAACCATTACACAGAACAAGTAAAAATGATTTTTTCCTGTGAGCTGAAACTTAGGGGGGCCTTCCAAGACCCCTGTACACCACCCCCTCCCTCATGTAATAACATTGGGTTAACTTACCTGTAGCTATACACAATGACTCTGATACAGTCACGGAAGGTTAATCGAATTAATATGAGCGCCTGCAAGGAGAATATCTAGAATTACACTTCATATCTAGAATTACACTTCATATCTAGAATTACACTTCATGTCTAGAATTACACTTCATATCTAGAATTACACTTCATATCTAGAATTACTCTTCATATCTAGAATTAACTTCATGTCTAGAATTATCTTCATGATCTAGAATTACTCTTCATGTCTAGAATTACTCTTCATATCTAGAATTACTCTTCATGTCTAGAATTACTCTTCATGTCTAGAATTACTCTTCATATCTAGAATTACTCTTCATGTCTAGAATTACTCTTCATATCTAGAATTACTCTTCATTTGTCCACATTTAAAAGTCTCGTATTTAGTTTGAGGATTTCATTAATGAAAATTTAATTGCAATTACTAAGTCAACATAGTTTTTTTTTTTCTTGAAGAGTGTGGGAGGAGTAGACCCTCTGTTACATTGTTACCATTATACAGCGGGGGGGGGGGGGGGGGGGGGGGGTCAGCGGGAACGAGGGGGAATACAGTTTCAGCACCTCCAGCACTGAATGTATGTACTGGCAAGGGGTGCCGGAGTGTACTGGAAGATCTACTGTTGCTGGCTGCTAGGGGATCTGTTATCACTGGGGGGGATATATTTTTGTATGGCAGTATTTTGTCGCTAGGGAGATCTATTGCTGCTGGAAGGGATCTACTGCTGAGGGAGGGATCTTTTATCGATGGCTACTGGGGGATCTATTGTCACTGGAGAGGATCTATTTTTTGCATGGCTTTCTATTGTTTCTGGGAAGGGGTGAATTGTTGCTGGAAGGGATCTAGTGCTGAGGGAGGGGTCTATTGTTACTGGCTCATGGTGAGTCTATTGATGCTGGCTGCTGGGGGAGATGTTGTGGTTTCTGAGGTCTGTTGTTGCTGGGGAGGTGCTTTGTTGCAGGGGTCCATTGTTGCTGGGGAGATCTATTGTTGCTGGAAGGGATCTACTGCAGATGGAGGGATCTATTATTGCTTATTTTTATAAGCAATAATACTCTTACTCTGATGTAAGAGTGGGGCATTGCAAACTCTGATGTAAGGGGGGGCTCTGCCGACTCTGATGTAAGAGGGAGACGGTTCTAATATAAGAGGGGGGTCGCTGCGGAGTCTAATGTAAGGGGGGCTGTGTGGACTCTGATGTAATGGAGGCACTGCAGACTCTGATGTAAGGGGGGCTCTGAGAACCCTGATTAAAGGGGAATGCTGGGAACTATGAAGTCTGTTGAGGCTCTGGTTACCAAGGACCCCCTTTTATCAGAGTTACCCTTTACACCAGAGTCTGCAGTGTTCCCCTCCATTACATTAAAGCTCCTTAAATCAGAGTCCCCAGAGTTCTCCCTTACATCAAAGTCTGCAGAGTCCCCCCTTACAGTGTAAGGGATCCCCGAGTTACAGTGTAAAGGGATCTCTGCGAGTTCAGATGTAAAGGGGATCTCTGCGAGTTCAGATGTAAATCTCTGGAGTCCAGATGTAAAGGGGATCTCTGCGAGTCCAGATGTAAAGGGGAAACATATCTGGATTCAGATGTAAAGGGGATCTCTGCGAGTCTAGATGTAAAGGGAGTCCAGAGTCCAGATGTAAAGGGGAAACATATCTGGATTCAGATGTAAGGGGGGACATTATGAATAAATCCATATGATTAGAAATGTTATTTAATAAAATAATATATGTATACTAAGATAATACATTGTAGTGCAACGCTAAAGTGTTCAGGTTTGGCTTGAAGAAAAGGTGGCAACACTACCAAAGACGGAAGACAGGGGGCCTGCCGCAGGGTCTCACTGCAAGACCATAACAAAAGGCTCCGGGATCGATGAAAAGGGCCCCAGGTTTGGAGGGAAGGGCCCGGCACCAGAGATCAGGGGGGGCCTTCATGGTTTCTTGCACTTGGGCCTTGAAGGTTCTAGTTACGCCTTCTTTTTGATACTGATTTTTTTTTCAGCCAGCAATTGACTTTCATGCAAAAGTGCTCTCTAGAACCGCCCCATAACTTTTACGGGACTTTGGAAATAATAATTCTGGAATCAACAAGGATTTTGTCACTTCCGGGTCCACAGCTCTCATTCCCTGGCTACTGTAGCCAAGTAAGCAGCTAATCAACTTGATTAGCTGCAGTGGAAGGCAGGGGAGACATTGGGGGATTAATAGATCCCTGATGTCCCCATAAAGAGGTACATAGGGGTCTCGTTAGCTTCCTCATGATAGCACTCAAATTAAATAAAAAAAAAAAAACTAAAAAGTGTTAAAAAAAAAATTATTATAAGAATAAAAGAAAAAAAAAACAGCACCCCTAACACCCCAGTGCTCACCTGAATGCAAACACACGCATAGAGCACACACATGTATGTAGACGAGAATTGCGCCACACATGTGAAGTATCACCACGAATGTCAGAGTGAGAACAATAATTCTACAGTCATAACTCGCAGGGCGCGGCTTGCAGTTCATTTTTAGAACACGTGGGCTACCCTCCATTTATTTGTTAAATAGTTACTGTAGATCTGATGTAAAATAATGGAAATGACTCGGTACCATTATAGTTCCCTTTACACCGTCTACAAGATTACATTTATGAATGCCAATTAAATCCCCATAATATTTAGGTCAATAACAGATGTTCTTATACTTACATATTCCACAACTATTTTAGTAAGTTCCTGGTATTCTCGGGATGAAGGAATCCTATACGGATCTATGAATGTCTTATTCATTTTTATAGAGAAATGGTACATGGTGGTTCCTGGTGTAGCAGTCGGGGGCTCAGGGGCTGCTGTAGTTGTAGTCAGTGCTGTCATCGTTGTAGCTGGTAAAGTTTGTAGTCTGAGCTGCTGTAGTTTTTGTTTCTGCAGTTCTAGTTGATGATGTAATTCCTGAAGTGGTACTGGATCCAGGTGTTGTACTGGCTCCGAGACTTGTACTGGATCCAGGTGTTGTACTGGCTCCTGGAGTTGTACTGGCTCCTGGAGTTGTACTGGCGCCTGGAGTTGTACTGGTGCCTGGAGTTGTACTGGCTCCAGGTGTTGTACTGGCTCCGGGAGTTGTACTGGTTCCAGGTGTTGTACTGGCTCCGGGACTTGTACTGGATCCAGGTGTTGTACTGGCTCCTGGAGTTGTACTGGCTCCTGGAGTTGTACTGGATCCTGGAGTTGTACTGGTGCCTGGACTCCAGGTGTTGATCTCAGGTTGGGCAGGTTGTAGTTGCTCTACTTGTTGGATCCAGGTGTTGGTACTGGCAACGACATGTAAGGTTGTATTTTTTTTGTGTGGTTATTGTATGGAGTTTTACTGGATTGGTTTGTAAAAAACTATTGCCAGTGCAATTTTATGTAGTTTCCTTCTCTTTGGTTGTTGAACATTTTTTTGTGTGTTAAAGTGTTACTAAACCCCGGAAACCTGCATTCACTATATCTCGGATTAAAGTGTTACTGTCCCGGACCCTACATTCACTATATCCGGTCTCCCGGATCCTGCATTCACTATATCCGGTCTCCCCGGACCCTGCATTCACTATATCCGCTCTCCCTGGACCCTGCATTCACTATATCTGGTCTCCCTGAGACCCTGCATTCACTATATCTGGTCTCCCCAGACCCTGCATTCACTATATCTGGTCTCCCCAGACCCTGCATTCACTATATCTGGTCTCCCCAGACCCCGCATTCACTATATCTTCTCTCCCCAGACCCCGCATTCACTATATCCGCTCTCCCTGGACCCCGCATTCACTATATCTGGTCTCCCCGGACCCCGCATTCACTATATCTTCTCTCCCCAGACCCCCCGCATTCACTATATCTGCTCTCCCCGGGCTCTTCATTTACTATATCCGCTCTCCCCGGACCCTGCATTCACTATATCTGGTCTCCCCGGACCCTGCATTCACTATATCTGGTCTCCCCGGACCCTGTATTCACTATATCTGGTCTCCCCGGACCCTGCATTCACTATATCTGGTCTCCCCGGACCCTGCATTCACTATATCTGGTCTCCCCGGACCCTGCATTCACTATATCTGGTCTCCCCGGACCCTGCATTCACTATATCCGCTCTCCCCGGACCCTGCAGTCACTATATCCGCTCTCCCCGGACCCTGCAGTCACTTAATCTGCTCTCCCCGGACCCTGCATTCACTTAATCTGCTCTCCCCGGACCCTGCATTCACTATATCTGCTCTCCCCGGACCCTGCATTCACTATATCCGCTCTCCCAGGACCCTGCAGTCACTTAATCTGCTCTCCCTGGACCCTGCATTCACTTAATCTGCTCTCCCCGGACCCTGCATTCACTATATCTGCTGTCTCCGGACCCAGCATTCACTATATCTGGTCTCCCTGGACCCTGCATTCACTATATCCACTCTCCCGGACCCTGCATTCACTATATCTGGTCTCCCCGGACCCTGCATTCACTATATCTGCTCTCCCCGGACCCTGCATTCACTATATTCCCTCTCCCCGGACCCTGCATTCACTATATCTGCTGTCTCCGGACCCCGCATTCACTATATCTGCTCTCCCCGGACCCTGCATTCACTATATCCGCTCTCCCCGGACCCTGCATTCACTATATCCGCTCTTCCCGGACCCCGCATTCACTATATCTGGTCTCCCCGAACCCGGCATTCACTATATCTGCTCTCCCCGGACCCTGCATTCACTATATCTGCTCTCCCCGGACCCGGCATTCACTATATCTGCTCTCCCCGGACCCTGCATTCACTATATCTGCTCTCCCAGGACCCTGCATTCACTATATCTAGCTCTCCCCGGACCCTGTACTGTTGTGGGTTTAGTAACACTTTAAGTATCCTACCAATATGAGTTTCCCCCAAGGGATCAGTCGGTGTCTTTTAGCATGAATGTACAATATTCAGGAATTTCAGTTACAATAAGAGAGGGTGAAGAGATTTGCCTTCCCTACATTAGCGTGTTCTTCTTTGTTTAGATCACATTACTAAGACATATAAAATGAACTGCGACAAGTTTTCTGCTCATACAAATAGGGGGGATATTCTTGTGGCCGTGCAGCTTCAGCATCTGAACCCCATTTGGGACGTTTGAATGATTTGTCTCATTTTACTCGAGGCCTTCATTAACAAGTAGTCATGCTTTAGGGTTACAGCTTTTAGGGAGCTTGTATCACATGCGGCAAAATGAGGTGCATTCTGGGTAAAAACGGTTTCTTTTTAAGGGGTCCGATGTTTCTTTGCAACAATGAGAAGATGCATTTCTGGAGTCGTAAAAATGGCAATGCCACCATCAGAGCCGGGACAAGAGGTGGGCAGGAGGGGCAGCTGTCCTGGGCAGTAAACCCATTCTATGGCATGTATTAACAGTGGGGGGGGGAGGGGTGAAGTTCCACATCCTTGCCCTGGGTAATAGATGAACATGTCCCAGTACTGCTCACCATTTTTACATTTTTACACAACACTCCGCCTACAATAGAAGAGGCGATATACTTTTAGTTTTCATGGCTCATGTTTTTAACTGCCACCAATTTGCTAATTCCAACTTCTGCAGCCATTGGACCCTCTGAATGTATTAAATTGAAAGCCTAAAAAAAAAAAATAATGCGGCCACCTCTATGGACTGGTAAGCTGTAATATGGTACAATTTAGATTTTTGAATTCAGATTCTTTACCGTTCCTGTTGTTATGGTGGTTTTGCATATATTTGTGCTAGATATGGACATTTGGACTTGTTCCGGATGTGTCTGATTAACCACCTAAGGACCGCCAACCAGCAATTTACTGCGGACAGGGGACCTGTACTGGCACATCGTTGTACCTGTACGTAGCTGACTTTCTCCGGGCACAGGGTGCGTCCAGCCGCTCTCCTGCCCGATGACTCCCACTGTGATTAGACACAACGGGATTTTGTCAGCAGGTCCCAGCCATTGATTCATGGCCAGAACCCGCTCATCTTTATAGTACATCCTGGGACACAAAGCCAACATATTAATCCTTACTCATAGGGATGTCCCAAAGCACTGCTCATGGGGGGAGGGAGACACAGCCATCACCGACAGGCCAAAAATGAATCTGCACAGCAGCCTATAACACACTGCGACCAAAGGCGGCCTCCTCAGTGGGCCTTACAACAATCTGATAAAATCTTGTAAAGGTGTGAATCAATGACCAGGTTATGGCCTTTTAGAAAAAGTACACAGGTGGTGCAAACACCTAGCGCATTATCCAAGGTTTATTAAAAAGTATAACTCTTGGGTTACAGCTCTGAGGAAAGGGACACTTCCCCGAAATGTGTCAGCAGGCCGACCACACCACCATTCGGACACTCTGCCATCATTTCGGCCATCTCTGTGGCCTTACAGGCTTTATATGCGCTAAGTTTGTGAGTATGTTTTTGTCTTTTTATGCTTTTTAATAAACCTTGGATAATGCTCTAGGTGTTTGCGCCACCTGTGTGCGTTCTTCCAGTTCGTTTATCTGAGGAGGGCTGCATCTCCGGGACTTTATCTATAGGTCATTCACACACCTGATTCCCTGGCCTCTCCCTGGTATTGACCCCTTCGAGGCGGTGGAGCATTAGTACTTTGTCCTATATGGCCTTTTAGACCTCAGCCATTGAAGCCTGATGGTGGACCACCTGGAAGCATTACACTGCAGAAGCCCTACTTTTTTTTTTTTTTTTTTTTTTAATTTAAATATTTATTAGTTTTTCATATTATTACAAAAAATTCCATAAAAAGGGACACAATACTTATAAATAATCAATACATTTCTACTTTGCCCCTTCTAGTTACCTCTTTTCTTACCCTCCCCTCCCAACCCATTTCGACCCCCCTTCCCCCTCCCTTCCCACTGCAAGATCTCTAGTCTCTCGAGGCCCAATAACTTTAAATAACTTCCTAGTTTAAGTTTTTCTATATTTCTCTTTCAATCCTGATTTTTCCCATTTTCCCCATCGCGAATAGTATGTTTCCAACCTGTCTTCCTGCATATAGTAGGTTTTTTCCATTCTACTAATCTGGTTTACCCTATTGATCCAATCCTCCTCCATCGGCACCTCTGTCTTCCTCCAAAACTTGGGTATCAACCCTTTTGCAGCACTTAAGTAGTACCATACACCTGATTCTTTATATTTATTTACTGTTGTCACAGCATTGTGTAGGAGACACATGGTTGGGTCTAACCCTATGTCCTTTCCAGTTATTTTTTTTCTATTAATTTAACTATTGTCTTCCAGAAAACCTGAATTTTTGGACATTCCCACCATATGTGAAACACCGTGCCCTCCTCCCCACATCCTCTCCAACACATTTTTGAATTCTCCCCACTCATCTTGTGCTCAGTGCTCGGAGTAATATGCCATCGTGTCAGACATTTATAGTTAATCTCAACGTCTCTCATACTAACACTCTCGTGTACCAATCTAAATATCTTATTCTGTTGAGGATCCTCGACCCCCGGATCCTCATCTATCACCACCTCCATATCTCTTTCCCAATTTATTATAAAAATTAACTTTGTGTCTGTTTCTAGTTCTGTGAGTATTCTATACATTTTTGTAACACCGTGTTTCCCATCTCTGCGTGTTTCTAATAGCCTTTCAAACATATTCCACTCCTTTTTTAATCTCAAGGGTTTTGGGAGATTTCCAATAAAACATTTTAATTGATGATATTTCCACTCATCTATTCTAGTAAACATATCTCCCCCCCCTCTCTTTTAATTCTTTAAATGTTCTCAATTCCCCCTCTACCAAAACGTCTCTCAATTGGATATCTTCCTTTTTAAACCATCTCCCTGATATCTCATCCTTTCCTGGAGGGAAATACTCTGTGTTTGCAAGAGGCATTAATATCGAATTAAAATCCCATTTCATGTGTTTATGTAAATTATCCCATATCCTTAAAACATTTAAAGTGTAAGTGCTTGTGCTTTCTTTAATTCTTCTATAATGTGCTGGGACCCATATCATCTTACTCAAACTAATTCCACTCAATTCATTTTCTATTTTTACCCAACTTTTTCCCTTATGGTTAAATGTCCAATCATAGATTCTTGCTAAAATTACTGCTTTATAATATCTCTTGACGTCAGGGAGTCCCATTCCCCCTTTCTCTTTGGTCCTACTTAGTGTTTCGTATGATATTCTTGGTTTTTTATTCCTCCATATATATTTTGTTAACATTCTTCTCATTATCTTAAAAAACGCCTCTGGGAGTTTAATTGGGACCATTTGAAATCTATAGAGTATTTTAGGTATAATTACCATTTTAACTAGGTTTATACGTCCTAACCATGATGGATTTCCTCCTTCTAATCTTTTTAATTCTTCCTTAGTATCATTTATCAGAGAAATATAGTTTAATCTATACAGTTGTTTATATGAGGTGGCTAGTTTTATTCCTAGATATTTTATATCTTTTTCTCTCCATATAAAGGGGAATTCTTTTTGTAATTTTTCTTTTGCTCTTTGGTATATTGATGTTCAGAATCTCTGTTTTTGTTGGATTAATTTTTAGGTTTGATAATTCACCATATTCCTTCAAGGTCTTCATTATACTTGGTAGTGTTATTCGGGGATTACCTACATAAAACAATAGGTCGTCCGCAAAGGCCGCTACTTTGTGTTCTATATTTTCTATCTGGATTCCCTTTACCGCTCCACTATTCCTTATCATTGACAACAGGGGTTCCAATGTCAAAACGTACAACAAGGGGGACAATGGGCATCCTTGTCTTGTTCCATTGGACATCCCAATGGATTCCGACCTCTCCCCATTTACCGTGATAATTGCGGTGGGCTCCCTATATAATTTACCTATCCACTCACGCATTCTCTCTCCAATCCCAAACACTTCCAAGTTGTCCATCATAAAGCCCCAGTCCACTCTATCAAACGCCTTTTCGGCATCAATTGACAATAGCACCACCGGGGCTTTCCCTTTTTTCTACTTTTCTGAATGAGCATTAGAGTTCTCAACCCGTTATCTCTACCCTCTCTCCCCGGGACAAAGCCCACCTGATCTCCGTGGATCCATTCAGGCATTAGATCTTTCAGCCTGTTAGCTAGAACCTTTGCATACAACTTAGTATCCGTGTTCAATAATGAAATTGGTCTGTAGCTAGAGCACTGAGAAGGATCTTTTCCCTCCTTGTGAATAAGAACGACATGGGCCTGAAGGGATTCCCTCCCCTCCCCTCCATCCCCCCTCCCAAGTCATTCATATACTTCTTCAACTTCGGTAACAGTAATTCACTAAATTTTTTATAGTACTTAACTGTATAACCATCCGGGCCTGGACTTTTCCCACCCCCTGTACTTCTTAATGCTGCTTCTATTTCTTCCTGGGAAATTTCCGCATCCAAGGAGCTCAACTGGGCTTCACTAAGCTTTGTTAATCCCGCATTTTTTAAATATATCATCCTTTTTTCGTTAATACCTTCTCTAATTTCTTTTGGGGAACCTTGGGGACTAATGTTATACAAGTTTCTATAATAGTCCGTAAATACTTTAATAATCTCTTTAGTTGAGTGGACCATCTCCCCCTTAGGACTTTTTATCTTTTCTATATAATTCCTGTTTTTCTTTTTATTCAGGGCTCTCA